AGAACATCTCTCTCTCTCTCTCTCTCTCTCTCTCTCTCTCTCTCTCTCTCTCTCTCTCTCTCTCTCTCTCTCTCTCTCTCTCTCTCTCTCTCTCTGGTGCTTTGCTGATGTATGGCATGTTTATGGCTTCGGCCATTCTTTCTATTTCCTGCATGACTAACTTGTACATTGGTTATAATGCGTCGAGTGACTTGAGTCTGTTGATGCCACTTTATGGTATTTTAAATTTGAACTGTGTTCTCGCCCATTTTGTCCTTTGTTTGCCCTTTTTGTGCTACGGAGTGTTCACAAACACGCAGGTGGTGAGCGTGACATGGGTCTGGGGAAGGTGAAGGCTTTGCATGTGACGCCACATGATATGGCGCAGCACAAAGTTCTTGTCAATCATATGGATGCCGAGACACTGTATTCTTTCCTGAAGCGGAAACATTTTAAAGATGGCCTCCTGCAGAAGTTCATGATGCCGTTTGGAAAGCGAAATGTTGTCTACAGTGCATTTTGGTATCCAAATTTTTTCTACCTGGAACGGACGATCATGAATGCAAGGTAAGCGGCAGTGAGTAGTAAATGCAACAAGGTCTTAGACTCTTAGGTCATCATCCTTTTTGTCCGTGGAGGGGCGCCGCCGGCTGGGGGGCGTGGAGAATCACCTTGAAAAGTGTCTCGGCCATAGTATAAAACAGTGCCTTAACAGAATACAACCTGAATGTCTGCGCATTCACTTGTGGATCATGCACCTGGCATCCGCAACATCCAGATGCAGATCATGCACCTGGCTGACCTCACACCCAGGCACATTCTGCCTGGGCTACTTCGCCTCTTTTTCGTACCCTATCAGTCTATTGCTGAGCTTAGCCTTATGTCTATGGCTCCATTCTCGTGTGGGACTCACTCCGGGACTCAGTGTGGGACTCGCTGTGGGACTCACTGTGAGACTCACTGTGAGACTCGAAATGGAACTCACTGTGGGACTTGCTGTGGGACTGGAAGTGGGATTCGCTGCGGGACTTGCTTTGGGACTCGCTGTGGAACATGTTGTGGGACTCGCTGTGGGACTCACTGTGGGACTCACTGTGGGACTCACTGTGGGACTCACTGTGGGACTTGCCGTGGGACTTGCCGTGGGACGATGGAGAGCATCACCATGGTTCGTATTTCCAGAGAAGAAGAGAATACGAATGGGAATGGGAACTCCTCCACAATCTGTCAAAAAGAGCCTAGTGCTCATCCTGCAGGGCTTGTGTCCCGATGTTTTGTGTCGCACTGCAAGCTCTGTGCCCAAGGTTTTTATTTTCTTTTCTGTGCCCCAAATTTTGTTGTTCGCATTTGCATAATGTCTTTTTCAAGACACTTATCTGTTGGACAAATGACCTCTGCGCTTTCTGCTTTTTCTCCCCAGTTTCTTGCTTGCTCTTGCCGCTGTCCTCCTTTTCTCACCCCCAAACTGTGTAAAGATGCCTCCTTAGCAGCAAGCACCTGCCAACTCCCTTCTTGTCTTCGCTTCTTTTTTGTTTTTTATTCTTTTCTCGCTTCGGTATTGAATCTATTGATACAACATCCAAAGATTTCTGAGATCCGTTGGTCCCAGCATGGTTCAGTTCAGCACAATCCTGATGTTCACATTTTATTGACAACGGCAAGGATTGTGCCATTGTCTTCGTGTGTTTTTTTCCCCTTAAAAAAAACAGAACCTCACGGGTTCTGGCTCCTTGTCCATTCTGCGGAGTAAGTCGTAAGAGATTACAAATGATGGATACTCACACACACACACACACACACACAGATATAGAGAACGGCATTGATTATTTCCCGTGGGAAGGATGTACCACCCCTCAAACCCTTTCCATGCTTGCTCCTCTCAGATTCTGGGCCTTCAGATACATCTAGATGACCTTAAGCAGTACCATACTTCTGTTACCTGGCTCTCCTTCCTTAGCAGACCCTGCTACTATCCTCTGTGTGTGTGTGTGTGTCTGAGAGAGAGAGAGAGAGAGAGAGAGAGAGAGAGAGAGAGAGAGAGAGAGAGAGAGAGAGAGAGAGAGAGAGAGAGAGAG